ATCAGTGTCCCCATCAGAGCCCCCCCTTACATCATTGTCCCCATTAGAGTCTCCCCTTATAATAGTGTCTCCATCAGAGTTCCCCCTCTATAACAGTGCCCCATCAGAGTCTCCCCTTACATCAGTGTTCCCATCAGAATCCTCCCTTTCATCAGTGTCACCATCAGAGCATCCCCCATCAGTGTCCCCATCGAAGTCCCTGCTTACATTAGTGCCCTATGAGTGCCCTGCTAACATCAGTGTCCCCATCAGAGTCCACCCTTATATCAGTGCCCTATGAGTGTCCCCTAACATCAGTGTGGAGTTAGGAATACATACTGGGATAGATTTTGGAGTGAAGAATACATACTGGGATGGATTTTGGAGTTAGAAATACATACTGGGGTAGATTTTGGAGTTAAGAATACATACTGGGATAGATTTTGGAATTAGGAATATAAACTGGGATAGATTTTGGAATTAGGAATATATACTGGGATAGATTTTGGAATTAGGAATACATACAGGGATGGATTCTGAAGTTAGGAATACGTACTGGGATATATTTTGGAGTTAGGAATATATACTGGGATAGATTTGGGAATTAGGAAAACATGCTGGGATAGATTTGGAGTGAAGAATACATACTGGGATAGATTTTGGAGTTAGGAATACATACTGGAATAGATTTTGGAGTGAAGAATACATACTGGGGCAGATTTTCGAATTAGGAATATATACTGGGATAGATTTTGGAATTAGGAATACATACAGGGATGGATTCTGAAGTTAGGAATACGTACTGGGGCAGATTTTTTTCGAATTAGGAATACATACTGAGATAGATTTTGGAGTGCAGAATACATACTGGGGATAGATTTTGGAATTAGGAATACATACTGGGATAGATTTTGGAATTAGGAATACATACAGGGATAGATTTGAAGTGAGGAATACGTACTGGGTATATTTTGGAGTTAGGAATACATACTGGATAGATTTGGGAGTTAGGAATACATACTGGAATAGATTTGGAGTGAAGAATACATACTGGGATAGATTTTGAAGTTAGAATACATACTGGAATAGATTGTGGAGTGAAGAATACATACTGGAATAGATTTTGGAGTGAAGAATACATACTGGGAAGGATTTTGAAGTGAAGAATACATACTGGAATAGATTTTGGAGTGAAGAATACATACTGGAATAGATTTTGGAATGAAGGAATACATAATGGGGCAGATTTTGAATTAGGAATACATACTGGGATAGATTTTGGAATGAAGAATACATACTGGGATAGATTTTGGAGTGAAGAATACATGCTAGGATTGATTTTGGAGTTAGGAATACATACTGGGATAGATTTTGGAATGAAGAATACATACTGGAATAGATTTCGTTTTTATAAACCAGAGTTCAGTGCCACTTTAAGTGGTGGAGGAGGATAATGGTTGCAGAAATCACAGATATACACACATATGCTCCTATAGACATGTATACCTGCGGTGTCCTCCCCGAGGATGTAGGACAGGTGGGATGAAGATGTGACATTCCAGCACTGAGTCCATGGAGGGGGATGGATGGGGAGGGGCAGAGCACAGAAGGGATCACATCCTCTGCCAGCCCTTTGCTCTTTTCTCTGCCAAAAGTTTCATCAACTCCTCCAACATGACTCAAGCAGCAGACACAGGAGTGGAGGAGACTTCTCCAGACTCATCCTGGCCACCTACCACCCTCATAGAACTCACCACTGCCTTACTACACACAACTGTCACTTCCAGGGCTGGCAGAGGAAGCCTCCACCAGGACCGGACTCTTCCCATCCAGAACAACTCCAGCCCTCTCCCCAGCCAGCAGGCACAGCTCGCCCCTCTCTGTATAAGTGGGACTTGGGGACAAGTAAGAAGTTTGTGAGTAGTAATGACTGACTAGTCCTGGACACAGTCCTCTTCATGCCACCCCCCTCCCCCACCCTGCCCCCCTCTCATCGTGCCATGCACTCCCCCCTACCTCTGCAGAGGAGCCGCATCCGCTGCCACCACCAGCTCTCCCTGAGCTCAATCTGAGAGCCCAGCTACTCCGCCAGCCCGTGACGTCACGGCCGTGCCCCCCTCCCTCCCTCCCGCTCAGTCGCATTCCGAGCACCCTTCACTTGCCGGAGCAGAGGGTAGAGAGGGGCACCGAGTGTTTGATCCTGGCCGGGACGTCTGCCAGGGATTACAGCTCCACACCCCTCAGCACGCTGCGGGCTCCGGCTATAGAGAGGGACTGATGGGGGGCATCCAAGGGACTTCTCCCAGCAGTTTGGATGTGAAGTGGAGAGGAGCCTCCCAGGCAGGTTAGATGGTGGTGAGGAGCCTCTTATTCTGGATTAGATGGTGGTGAGGAGCCTCTTATTCTGGATTAGATGGTGGTGAGGAGCCTCTTATTCTGGATTATATGGTGGCGAGGAGCCTCCCAGGCAGGGTTAGATGGTGGCGAGGAGCCTCTTATTCTGGATTAAATGGTGGCGAGGAGCCTCTTATTCTGGATTAGATGGTGGTGAGGAGCCTCTTATTCTGGATTAGATGGTGAGGAGGAGCCTCCCAGGCTGGGTTAGATGGTGGTGAGGAGCCTCTTATTCTGGATTAGATGGTGGTGAAGAGTGGTGAGGATCAGATGGTGGTGAGGAGCCTCCCAGGCTGGATTAGATGGTGGTGAGGAGCCTCTTATTATGGATTAGATGGTGGTGAGGAGCCTCCCAGGCTGGGTTAGATGGTGGTGAGGAGCCTCTTATTCTGGATTAGATGGTGGTGAAGAGTGGTGAGGATCAGATGGTGGTGAGGAGCCTCCCAGGCTGGATTAGATGGTGGTGAGGAGCCTCTTATTATGGATTAGATGGTGGTGAGGAGCCTCCCAGGCTGGGTTAGATGGTGGTGCAGAGCCTCTTATTCTGGATTTGATGGTGGTGAGGAGTGGTGAGGATCAGATGGTGGTGAGGAGCTTCTCTGGCAGGATCAGATGGTGGTGAGAATTAGATTGTGATGATCAGATCATGGTGAGGAGTGGTGAGGATCAAATGGTGGTGAGAAGCCTCTCAGGCTGGGTTAGATGTTAGTGAGGTATGGTGAGGAGTTTCTCAGGCTGGATCAGATGGCGGTGTGGAGTGGTGAAGAGTCTGTCATTCTGGATCAGGTGGTGGTGAGCAGCCACTGAGGCTGGATCAGATGTTGGAGTGGTGAGGATCGGATGGTGGTGAGAATCAGTTGGTGGTTAGAATCATCTGTTGGTGAGGAGTGGTAAGGATCATATGGTGCTGAGGAGTGGTGAGGAGCTTTTCATTATGAATCAGATGGTGGTGAGGAGTGGTGGGGATCAGATGGTGGTCTGGAGCATCTCCAGCTGGATCAGATGGTGGTGTGGAGTGGTGAAGAGTCTCTCATTCTGGATCAGATTGTAGTGAGGAGCCTCTGAGGCTGGATCAGATGGTGGAGTGGTGAGGAGTAGATGGTTAGGATCAGATGGTGGTGAGGAGTGGTAAGGGTCAGATGTGGTGAGAATTAGATGGTGGTGAGGAGTGACACGATCAGATAATGGTGAGGAGTGGTGAGGATCAGATGGTAGTGAGGATCAGATGGTGGTGTTGAGTGGTGAGGATCAGAAGTAGGGAGCAGTGATGAGGATCAAATGGTGGTGAGGAGCGATGAGGATCAGATGGTGGTGAGGAGTGGAGAGGATCAGATGGTGGTGAGGAGTGGTGAGAATCAGATGGTGGTGAGGATTGATTTGGATCAGATGGTGGTGAGAATCAGATGGTGGTGAGGAGTGATGAGGATCAGATGGTGGTGAGGATCAGATGGTGGTGAGGAATGGTGTAGTACACAGCTGGGCCATCTGCTGTTCTGCTGCCTGACCCATTGTCCAGTCCCTGTTCACACTTTTGCGATTTTCCACACTTCGAAACACCCAACAAGAGGAATTGCATTATTGTCTATTGGAGGTTGTTCACACCTATGCAACATGCTTCTGTGTGGCCTGGAAAAAGGTGCAGGTGCTTCATTTAGTGCAACATAGAAGAATTGATAAAAAGTGCCATGACATTAAGGACTCATTGACACCAGACGCAGCATAAATGTAGAATGACATAAACAAGGACAATGAATGTATCCCAGTGAGCCTTGTTTACACCATTGCAGTACTTTCATGTGTGTTTAAAAATAGTAACCAGCATGTTGCATTTTTCCACACTGGAATGCACCGTAAGCATACATAAATGCACTGCAAATGTGCATAAATGCGTATAAATGAACTTCAATAAAGAAACTAAATTGAAATAAATTAAAATTATTTCAAAAAACACCACAAATGCACTAAAACACACTATAAACATAATGGACATGCACGCAAATGGTCATGCAGAAATGGACAGTGAACACAGAGATTGTGGCATGAATGAGTCATAAAATTCTAGCATGCCTCCATACAGTAAATGTCAGTGCATGTGGCAGATTCCTGCACCTATTGGAAACAGTTACATGCATTTGAGTCATGCACAGTTTATACAGACACCCCATCCCTCTACACAGAGGTGCTCACTCCCTACTGCTTTAGCTGTCACACACAAGAGGAAGAATTTAGTAGCAGGGTTGGCAGAACTTGATAGGGAATCAGATACATTACTTCCCCAGCAGATCCTCTTCTCCCCTTGTGATTGACAGCAATCAATTTGCAGATCCATAGCTAATAGCCTGTTGTTGGCTATAGAATCCATCAACTACCAGCTATCAATCACATAGTGAGAATGAACCTAGTCCATTATCTTCTGCACAGGGGCGGACTGACCATTCGAGCACTCGGGCACTGCCTGAGGGCCCGGGGTCAGTAGGGGGCCCCATAAAATGCCCCTGGTACCTTTTTTGGGTGTGTTTTAAGTGTGGGCAAGGACACAGGGGCCCCATGATCCCCAATTGCCCTGGGGCCCCTTGAGTTGTCGGTCCACCCCTGCTTGTGCATCATGCTCCACCCACTGTCAGCATCACTGGTTGCTAGGAACCTGTTGTTGTGAAGCTGGCAGCATCCTTGACATCCAGTGACAGGTGGGGAGCGGGTAGCAGCAGCAAGCATACCACTCTGCTACACAGCAGTGTACTGAGACAGGGGTTCTGCCTGTCTCTGTACACTGTTAGAATTGGTCTTAAAGCAGAACTAAACCCTTTTCTGTTCTTTATTATTATTATACAATATTTATTTAGCGCCAAAAAGTTTGCTCATCGCTGTACATTATAGCCAGGAAAGCTGCCATCTTAGCCTCTGTTTGATCTGCAGTTGCCATGGTGCTGCACATGTAATCAGTTTTGACACCAACCATTTGATAGTTTGACAGTTGGAATTAGAACACAAGCAATTGGGACAATTATCTTTCTTGGCATGCCTTGATTGTAACCATTTTGAGAAAAAGCTAAATCAATGGGTTTAGTTCCACTTTGATTAATTCCAGTTTCATTATCTACAGAGTGTTGGTAATTATATTTGAATTTAGTGCAGCCAAAGAACTACCTGAATCTGCTGCTTTGTTTAAGTAAAGCTACTAAAACTGTCAACAGGGATTTTTGAATGTGGCACAAAATCTTTTAAAGGGACATGGCCATGTTGGGTCAATAATGTCACAGGCATCCTGATTCCTTTGACTGACCTGGCGCTGGCAGCTTCCTTCTGGCTTAAAGTGTTACTAAACCCAGGACCCTGCATTCACTATATCTGATCTCCCACAGTACACAGAACATGGAAATTAAATTATTTTAGTAAATATAAACTGCTAAATACCTTTTCTCATCAGAAGTTAGAGCAATCTTGTGACTTCTATCAGTGTCCAGCACGGCACTAACTAAAGCTTGTAGGAGGAGTTTTCTTTCTGCTCCAGGAGGATGCAAAACCCCTGACCTCTGTCTGGACAGTCCTGATTGGCCCTGTGCTGATCACATGCACTCTCCCAAGAAAAAAAAAAAAAACCTCTCTAGCAATACACACCAAACTGAGCATGTGCAAATGCCTACAGTTCAGTCCGTCTTATCAGGAGATAAGAGGTGGTCACTTGAAAAAGGGGAGGAACAGATCAAGAAACAATCAAACTCCCTTTTTACACAGTGCAGAGGATTAACCCCTTAGGTTCCACAGTGAGTATACCAAGCATGCTTTACTGCGTATACAGACTGATTTTACTGTTGTGGGTTTAGTAACACTTTAAGCCAAACATGGTTTGGACCGTACCCAAGCTCAACCCTAATGTGGATCGGTCAGGAACTTTACAAGTCTGCATGAATAACTTCCTACAGTTGTGACCAAAATTATTCAACCCCCACTGAAATTGAGTGTTTTGGCCAGTTTGACATTGCTTTTGATCATTCAGTCATCTTGCTTACATTTACATTAAAGAGGCACTTGTAGGTCAGACAAATATAACATAACAGTTATAATGAAATAACCACAAATGTCTTTTCTGTGCTCACAGCATTATCAGTTTTATTCAACCCCCAAGTGACATTCAATCTTAGTACTTAGTACAGCATCCTTTTACAGTTATAACAGCTTTTAAACGTGAAGCATAGCTTGACACAAGTGTCTTGCAGCGATCTACGGGTATCTTCGCCCATTCTTCATGGGCAAAGGCCTCCAGTTCAGTCACATTCTTAGGCTTGCGCACTGCAACTGCTTTCTTTAAGTCCCACCAGAGGTTCTCAATCGGATTTAAGTCTGGTGACTGCGATGGCCACTCCAAAATGTTCCAGCCTTTCCTCTGCAACCATGCTCTAGTGGACTTGGAGGTATGCTTGGGATCATTGTCCTGTTGAAAGGTCCAACGTCTCCCAAGCCTCAGGTGTGTGACGGACTGCATCACGTTTCCATCCAATATCTCCTGGTACTGAAGAGAATTCATGGTACCTTGCACACGCTGAAGCTTCCCTGTACCTGCAGAAGCAAAACAGCCCCAAAGCATGATTGACCCTCCACCATGCTTCACAGTAGGCAAGGTGTTCTTTTCATCATAGGCCTTGTTCTTCCTCCTCCAAACATAGCGTTGATCCATGGGCCCAAACAGTTCTAATTTTGTTTCATCAGTCCACAGAACACTATCCCACAACTTTTGTGGTTTGTCCACATGGCTTTTGGCATACTGCAGTCGACTCTTCTTATTCTTTGGAGACAGCAAGGGGGTACGCCTGGGAGTTCTGGCACGGAGGCCTTCATTACGCAGTGTGCGTCTTATTGTCTGGGCTGAAACTTCTGTACCCACATCTGACAAATCTTTTCTCAGTTCCTCAGCAGTCACACGGGGACTTCTCTCCACTCTACGCTTCAGGTAGCGCACAGCAGTCGAAGTCAGCATCTTCTTTCTGCCACGACCAGGTAGCGTTTCAACAGTGCCCTTTGCCTTGAATTTGCGAATGATGCTTCCTAAGGTGTCTCTTGGTATGTTTAACATCTTTGCAATCTTCTTATAGCCATTGCCCTTCCTGTGAAGAGAAATCACCTCTTCTCTTGTCTTCCTGGACCATTCTCTTGCCTTCACCATGTTTGTAACCACACCAGTAAATGTCTAGAAGGAGCTGAGTATCACAGTCATTTTAAAGCTGCCTAATTGGTGCTTATTATGCTTGATTGCTGCTCGGTGACATCCACAGGTGTTTTCAATACCTGATGGAAAGCACCTGTATGAACCTCTGTTCTTCAGAGTGGTAGTCTTTAAGGGGTTGAATAATTGTGGCAATGAAGAAACCACATAAGAACCATTTACTACTGTATTACATAAACAATTGATGTCATTTTAGTTGCATTTGGGTAGTTACAACGTCCTTGTAGGATTTGATTCTGAATACAATTCCAAATGTACACTATAGTCCCTAAACCCCTTTACAGCATTGGGGGTTGAATAAATTTTGGTCACAACTGTAATATGATCCAACATGCAGCAGACACATCATTATATTGTCAAAAGCCCTCCTTGATTTCCTGTCAGTGACTTAGTGCCTAGGCTGAGATGATGCAAATAAGTCCACTGCAGACAGGAGGAAACATTTCCTCAGCCCCCCCCCAGTTTTTAGAAAGCAACATCGTAATTTTGTAGAAAATCTGATGATGGGAGCTATAAGGAATTACATGATTGCTTCATCTCTGAGGCTGCATTTCAATAAACGGAGTAGATGGTGACACTGGATGATGCCTGAGCAATGATGGCTCGTTCATTTGGAGAGAAAAGTAGATGAAGGCATTGTCAGAGAAGGTACTGTGATCCATGTGAGAGGTAATAAATATGTAGACAAGTTACATTACTTAGCATTCTGCACTTAACCTGAAACAATATGTCTGATTCTAGGTCTGTTTTAAGTAAATATACTTCAAAGGTTCTTTTCTAAAACTTATTGCGTGAGAATAATGAAAGCCAAAAGAAGTAGCTGCTACATTGGATGAAAATGGGGGAATTGTCTTTAGAGTTCTCTGTGTTATTTGGAAATTGTAGTAGGATTTGCCTATTCTTTTCATTTCTTAGTACCAAGGTAGTGGCCAGGAATGTGAAAAATACTAGTAAATGCACCCACTCTGAATAAAAGAAAAAAATGTACATTTATTAATTTTTGTTGTAATTGAGCCTGCAAGCATTGGAATTGAGATCAGTGGATGGCAGGTGCGAAGCGTAGGCTCCTGCAGACTTACTGTATACCCCGGCTGCAGGTCTGTACAGAGTTATGGACCTTCAGTTATGGGGCTGGTTAAGGTATCAATGGATTACTATCCATGATGTCATCTCCATTTGGTGTTCCATTGGTAGCTACAGGTACCCTCTGCCACAGTGGCAGATGTGACTTGTGGTACTTCCATTAACAGATCTCTGTGGCTGTGTGTGGCTTCACTTTCAACAACTTAAAAAAAACCTTGGAATATGTAGGAAAAGAAGGTGCAGTTTGGATGTGGGGGGTTTTGGACTGTGGATTTTGTTAAGGTACCCACATCACAACATATAGCTTACAAACATATACACTTTATTGCCAAAAGTATTGGGACGCCTACCTTTACACACACATGGACTTTAATGGCATCCCAGTTTTAGTCCGTAGGGTTCAATAATGAGTTGGCCCACCCTTTAGCTATAACAGCTTCAACTCTTCTGGGAAGGCTGTCCACAAGGTTTAGGAGTGTGTCTATGGGAATGTTTGACCATTCTTCCAGAAGTGCATTTGTGAAGTCAGGCACTGATATCGGAAGAGAAGGCAAAACTGTTCCCACGCAGTTGGGAGCGTGAAATTGTCCAAAATGTCTTGGTATGCTGATGCCCTAAGAGTTCCTTTCACTGAAACTAAGCCGGCCAAGCCCAACCTCTGAAAAAACAACCCCACACCATAATCCCCCCTCCACCAACCTTTACACTTGGCACAATGCAGTCAGGTAAGTACTGTTCTCCCAGCAACTGCCAAACCCAGACACATCCATAGATTGCCAGACAGAGAAATGTGATTCGTCACTCCAGAGAACACATCTCCACTGCTCTAGTTTCCGGTGGCGGCATGCTTTACACCACTGCATCCGACGCTTTGCATTGCACTTGGGATATAAGGCTTGGATGCAGCTGCTCAGCATGGAAACCCATTGCATGAAGCTCTCTATGCAGTGTTGTGCTAATCTGAAGGTCACATAAACTTTGGAGGTCTTTAGCTATCAACTCTGAAGACAGTTGGTGACTTCTGCACACTGTGCGCTTCAGAGCTCACCCCGCTCTGTTATTTTACATGGCCTTGCTGTTGTTCCCAGTTGCTTCCACTTTGTTACAATACCACCAGCAGTTGACCGTGGAATATTAAGTTGCAAGGAAATTTCACGGATGGATTTATTGCACAGGTGGGAACCTATCACGGTACCACGCTTGACTTTACTGAAATCCTGAGAGCGACCCATTCTTTCACATATGTTTGTAGAAGCAGTCTGCATGCTTAGGTGCTTTATTTTTTTACACCTGTGGCCATGAAGGTGATTGGAGCCAGAACCGGAATCCAATGATTTGGAGGGATGTCCCAATACTTTTGTCAATATAGTGTATATCATTTGTTAATATCATTTAAGAGC